CACACACACACACACACACACACACACACACACACACACACACACACACACACAGGGAGAGAAAGCAGTGAACCATTTATAGGTTTATGATTGTACAAATGACATTTCCATCAGCTGTGACCATGTGTGTAGAAACTGGGCTTGTTGGACTGTGTGACAAGCTGTATGTGTTGTGGATTGCCGGGGGTAGTCATGATGTTCTTTTGGTTGATTATGTACAATAAAAAAAAAATTTCTTTAGAAACTGACTGCTACTTTGCTTCAATAATTCTTGTTGATTTTATGCTAGAACGTTTGTACACAACAGAGCTCAAACCACAAAGATCCACATTATGATATGTTTCTTTCAATTTCTAGACAAAGACACATGAGTTCAGTCATTGGTGAACAGAGCAGCAGCCCATGCCTGTGGCAGTGATGTTGAGCACTGATATGAGCTGCTCTCCATTGTTTACCGGCTGTGAACGCAGGCACAGGTTTAGCTGAGGATTGTTATTCATGCCTTTGATGCTTCTGCTACTTATCTTACATCATTTGAAAACACACACACATGCACACACACACAGGCAAAATGATGTGGTGGTAAGGATTCTAATATCCTACTGCCTTTCCCCCTGACGGGCTGGATGGCTGCTCAGCCACCCCAACCCACAGTCTTCGAGGTTGAATGCACATCTTATTCAGCAGCCTTATAGGTAAAGCTTTCACCTGCGCTGCACCAACAAACCAGTCACATCACTGCTGAAAAATCAATTCTGCCCGTCAATTTAATTACAGTCACAGAGCTGCAGCTCCACAACACTACCCAGGTAACAGGCAGGGGAACAGCCAGGCATAAAGCATGTGGATTTGTGTATGCCATAGCCACGCCAGCATTCAGCATCTGATGCAACAGTCACTGAGTTAAGTACAATCATTTATCCAGCTCTGATTTGCCATGAATTGCCTGCTCTTAACATTAAACCTGGATAACTTAATTAACATTTTCATCAACTTCTGTGAATGTTGTTTTAAAATGTCTTCTCTTACATACTAGGTCACATGTATCTGCATATCTATCTACTAAGGAAATGCAGTGTAGAATCTGGTGTGATTTGGACACATGCTATGTTCAACATTAATACAATTAGAATTTAACAGATGACCAGCGGCTGGGACTCATCAATGTGTTCATGAAAGTGGCAATGACATCTGGGTTCTATGACTGAGTCAAGCTTCACTGAACTTTGAATTAACAGCAGCTGCTTTTAACAACCACTGTAAGGTAATTTTGGCCTGGATCTAGACAGAAGGGGGCAGACCCAGGATTTAAAAAAAAAAATATTTTCTTTAACATTGTGCCCCTTGGCAGATTAATGCATTTTACTGAGTGTCATCCCAGTACATAGTTATTACATTTTTACTTCCAAGATGAGATGTCACAACACTCCTCCAGAGTTGTTTGTAAAATATTTGTATGAGTGTATTGTATTTGTGTATGCATCCATGTACTGGGTCAAATAAGCATTTTTGTTTTCATAAAAAGACTGTTATGATATACTCAGTACAGCTATTCATCCAGAAATACACATTCATAATATCAACAGTGTGGACAATATTCCTTGCCAACTGAACGTTGATATTTCAATGGCTGTGGCAATGGGCTGTCAGGCTCAGATAAAGCAAGTAATATGTTTAACTCAAGCAACCTGCTTTTATCTTTTTAATACTGCTAAAAGATTGGCATAATTATCATCATGTAATGAGACAAATTGTTTTAGAGGCCATATGTATGATATAAAGTGGTCTACAGTAGTCCCAAAACAGACTTGCTCATTCATCAGATGTAACAAGCTGTGAGGTCCTCTGGCATTTTCTCATTTTAAACACAACCATTCTCAGCTTTCCATTTCAAGCCCTGCTAATCTCACGATAGACTAATGGCTGGAAAGTGTGTGTGTGTTTGTGTGTTACAGTGAGAGAAACCTGGCACTATTGTCTTGGAAGCCTGCAGATCAAAGTTGATTGAGTATCTAATGGCAACTGAGCATCTTACAAATCAGCTCCTTTCACTGTAGTGTACACACATTTGTGCATTATTACTATGTGTTTCTGTAGCTTCATCGACCATTGTGACATGTGACATTTGGAGAAGTCTGGGTCTGTAGCCTTTGCAGTATTTCGAAAAAATATGGATTGCTCTTTCCACATGAGAGATTGAATGGAATCTCGATATTGGATGGGTGAACAATTGTTTTACCACTTTTACCAGTTGATCTCTGTTCCGACCTTTTATCTGTGGTCATGAGTTTTTGTGTGGTGACCATAATATTGAGAATGCAGAGGTAGCCAAGATGAATTTGAAGGGTGGATAGGTAAATGGTGAGGAAACTTTCAAAGGAGGATTTTCAAATAATTTGTAGTAGAATCCCTGCTGTTTGCATTAAACATAGACAGTTAGTTCAGGCATATAATAACATTGACTTCTGAATGCTTCACTAATGAGGTTTTCCAAAGCAACCACCTCATCTGTCAAACATTACAGTGGTTCTGTTGTGGACGTGCATGGATGGCTGTCACTGCAAACTGGTATTTATTGATAATGTCATGGCTGAAAGAATACAGGAGCATTGATCCTGTTGCATCAGGACCCATTGGGTGACATTTAAACATTCAGAAGGACAATGATTCAAAACACGCAGGCCAAAGGTGAGAAGGAGGGACATTCTACTTTGGCAAGACAGCAAGGAGAGAGTGTACCTCAGGCTACATCCACCAGCCCCAGGGTAAAAAGTGGCATTTCCAAAACCTCAGTTTTAGTGGCTCTAAAACTCTGGAGTAGTGTGGACACCAGGCAAATCAGTCGCAAAGTTGACAGATTTTACAACAAAAATTTAGCAGTATGGATTTAGCCCTTAGTTCTCAGAATGCTTTTCATGTCAAAATATTGAAAGGCAAACTCCTCTATCGCCTTTTTTAAATGGGTTTATCTGCTAACTTTTGTGTGAAATAGGTTTGAGAGAAAATCACCAGGGAAGATAAAGTTTTGTCCGCTAAGGAATTTCCACTACATATGTTGATTTTGTTCATGTGTTACTGTTCAATTGCTTTAAAAAATGTTGCTTTTTAATTTTGAAAGTTGGACTCTGTGTTAAAATGGCATACAAGATTGTTATAATGTAGAGCAGAGCTACACAGGGGGATTTGTATTATTTTTTTAAACCCAGAAAGTTGACTTCATTTCACCACAGTGGGTAAGAAAAAAATAGGCAAGGTAGGGAAGCTGATTCAGTAGCTCTTTCATTATTTATATGCCACTTCCTTCTGTTGTACTTAAACAGGGCACCCATCTGTCCTGGTTTATCCACTTGGAAATTCACCACTTTAAATGCAAATTACCTTCCCTTGTAGGACATCAACAAGCCATAATCCCTCACTGGCTTTTAAAGTAGGTAAAAGCAGTGGAATATTATTCTTAGAAAAGAAGCAGAGAATTCATGCATACTTAGCAGCATCCTTTTTTTACCTATGCGGAACTTGGACTCTGCAATGGTAAGCCGGCTGTATCAACATCTCAGTGAAAAGTGGTCTGGAAAATATGCTCTATTATGTGTGTTATTTTGGTGTGAAAATAGAATGTTGATTTACCAGATGTGTATGGATAAATATTTATTTATCTCACTGAAACAAATAAGAGTTTCCAACATTAAAGACACTTAATTACAAGAAAAAAGTATTAAGCAGGGTGAACTTCACGGACTGTATACAATACTATTCATGTATATATATATATATATATATATATATATATATATATATATGCTATATATCTGCCTCACCTTACCGTAAGGAGCTGCTCACTCACATTAAACTCTTTTGTCTGGCTTTCTGTGGACTAACCTGCGGTGTCACAGGTGTTTTATTTTGACAAGAAGAAAAACACAATGAATGAATGATTTATTTATTTAGTTTGCCATTAAATTCTAGAGAAAACCGTCAGGCACGCTGACTTCAGGTGAAACAATTACTAGTTTATTATTCAAGCGTGAAGGTGCCACCCTGACAACATCACAATGCCATCTTCAGTAGTTTCTCAGACTTTACAAACATTTAGGAGTGAGTCATCTAGTATATTAATGTATCCTGAATGTGCATAACCTAAAACCGAAACAAAGCAGTTCTGGTGCCTCATTTATAAATGTCACATACCGTAAATTACCAAATAATAGCCGGGGCGTTGATTTGTTTCAATCACTTAACAGACCAGGCGTTTATTTGGGACCAGGCGGCAGTTTGGGACAGGCGTTTTATTTTTTCCTCACATAATCCTTCTGGGCAATAGTTGTACGTCTTCTGCAAGTGAAGTTGTTGCGGCAGAGGAAACGATATAGCCAACCAGCACTCGCAGCAAACTCCTCATCCCTGCTGTCACTCGCAGCAGCGTACATTTGTTTCGCCATCGCCCTGATCATTTTGTGGGACACTCTCTTGTGGCGTGCCTGTTTGCTGATAACCCATTCCCACGTTTATCTCAAGCTCCTCGCTAGCCTTCTTCCTACCTCCACCAGGCAGCCTGGCCCTTTTGCTGTCCTCCTCGGACAGACGCTGAAGCTCAGTTAAATTTTTTCGCCAATCTCCCACTCTCTTGGGGTCGACAGAGAAACGTGTAGTGGCTGCTTCTCCTGAGTTTACCTCTGCATATTTTACGACAGAAAGTCTGAATTTCAAGTCGTACTTTTTATTTTCGCTGCACCGGAGCCATGGCGATCATCAGAAAGCAAGCACAATACGTGAAAAAGGCGAAGAAGAAAAACGTGCAGTGTCAGTGGTCACGTCTTCTTCTTTGATTTAAAAAAAAAAAAAAATTAGAACCAGCATTTATTTGGAACCAGCGGTTATTTATAATTTCAAAGGGGACCCTGCGGTTAACTGAAACACGGCTATTATTTGGTCATAAAGGTATGTACAAAATGGGCTCTGAAAGTGTCATACGCCACTTTCCACGCAAAAATTGATCACCTATTTGCAAACATGGATACAAACATTTTGGAGCCATGTGAAATTAGCAACACAGATGCAAGGTTTAATGCTACATGATGGCTACACTGGTGCTGGTAGAGGAGCATGTGAATAGAAGGATGAGGCTAGAATGAGCCTTCTGAGACTGTGAAGATTTCCTGTCCCACGATGATGAATAATCATTTTATCCACTGATTTAGATTCTTCGGAGCTGTGATCTTGGATCTAATTGCGGAATTGGGTCCAGATAACAGACCTGATGGAACCATGCCATCATAGTGCAAACACAAATCACCGCTCTGCAGTTTATGGAAACTGGCTGTTACTGGTGGGAATTAGCTGACACACTTCATGTGTCAAAATCAGAATCAGGTGTATTGCCAAGTAGGTTTACACATACATGGCATTTTCTGTGGTCTGTTTGTGCAATTATAAATATAGAAAATATTAAAAAAAGGAAACAAAAATCATATCCAGTGTCAAAGTCACAGGTAGAGACATCAGTGCAGTTTGGTTAAAGGGTCCCAGGCCTTATTGATGAGGTAGCACTGCAGTAGTCGGAAATAAACTGTTTTTGTGGCGTGAGGTTTTGGTCCTTATGGTCAGTAGCCTCCTGCAAGAGGGATGGGTTGGCCACAATCTTATCTGAACGCCTCAGAGTCCTGGAGATGTACATGTCCCTGGTAAGAGGGCAGGTTGGTAGGGCTTGGATCTTCCTGAAGTCCACAGTCATCATCACTGAGAGCATTGAGCTCCAAGTTGTCACTGCACCAGGTCACCAGGTGGTCGATCTCCCAACTGTAAGCAGACTCGTCACCGCCAGAGATGAGGGTGGTGTTGTCCGCAAACTTCAGGAGTTTGACGGACTGATGACTTGAGGTGCAGCTGTTCGTGTACAGGGAGAAGAGCAGAGGAGAAGAATGCAGTTGTGGGGGGACCCAATGCTGATGGTCCGGGGGTCAGAGACATGTTTCCACAGCTTCACGCGCTGCCTCCTATCAGACACGAAGTCTTTGATTCACCTGCGATGGAGTCAGGTACGCTCAGCTGTGAGAGCTTGTCAGGAATTATTGGACCTTCTGCTCCAGGGAGCAGAGCAGGGATTATGGTGTTGAATGCAGAGCTGAAGTCCACAAACAGGATCCTGGCATAGGTTCCTAGGGAGTCCAGGTGCCGGAGGATGAAGTGAAGTGCCATGTATACTGTATTGTCTACAGATCTGATCGCTCTGTACAGGACAAGGCCTTCAAAACACTTCATCACCACAGGTGTCAGGGTGACAAGTCATTAAGTCCTTTGGTCCTAAGTTTTTTGGGACTGGGGATGTTGGTGGAGGATTTGAACCAGGCTGACACCTGACATGTTGATAGGCACAGTGCTTCAGGGTGGATGGGGAGACAGAGTCAGGTCCGGCTGCTTTAACGGGGTTAAAGCTGAGTCATTAGCTGGTCGGACATTTAATAAACTGTCTATTCCTGGCTGAGATTTCCTTTGTGCCGAGTCCAGTATTGATCCAAACAGCTACGTCCTCGTGAAACAGAAGACGGAAGATGAAGAAACATCTCCCCCTCCTCCGGCGTTTCACTGTGTTGGCAAATGTGAGCCCACTGATGACCAGAATGTCCAATAATTCCATGGATAAACACAAGAAAGATGGAAATAAATCCACTGGAGTTGTTCCCATGATGCTCATGACCTCTTCTTTGGTGGAAGAACTCCGGGTATTGCAGCAGAAAACAGATTTAAAATACAAAAAGAGACAAAAAAGTGCGCACAAACACACCAAGGCAGCTGTTTGCAGCGCCCTCTTGCACCAACTGGGTCATTTATGTGCATCAACATTCATGGGGTGCTTTACATTAAACACTGCCATTTGAATGTGGGTGTGTCGAGGTCACAATGTGAGGTTGACTTGATTTTATGAACATAAAATGATCTATTTGTACTGTATTATTAATAATAGAAGACTACACTATGGCAAAAAAGAAAATGGCCTTTTACTAATTTCAGTACGCTGATGTTGATGGAATTAATAATGTTGTGAGGCTCACTTTGTATCAACAAAACCAGCCTGACAGAATCCCAACACTAAGAATAAACGATCACTTCTCAAACATATAAATATCATAGCAAATAGATCTTCCGATCCTTCCTATTTTTTTTACCTCATATTATCAACAAAACACACAAAAAAACTATATAAATAATAAAAGGAGTGTGTGCTGCATTATGAAAACAGGAAATGTTACCTCATATTCCTGAGAGAAGCGCAGTCCGTCATTGCCCCTTAGTCTCTCTATGTGGTCTGCCAGGTCAGAGACAGGGATTGGAGGATGTTCCCTCATTCCTGTAGTGACAGGTGGAGCAGTAAGTATAGTCCATCAAACACACACACACACACACACGCACACACACACCAGGGTGTATCCTGGGTGCAGATGCATGTTGAAAGCTCAGAGGAAACTGGCCACAATGATATGGAGTGATAGTGGAACTGCTATGTGCTCAGTGCTCGGATGATGTCTGACTGCAAAACTCTTTCACAACATGTTCAAACCACACTAGTGATATGAGCATCATTGAGCATGCTGACTGGTTAAACGATTCCCACAAATCACTAGGTGAGCAGGAACGATCACACGGGTGATTAGGGGGTATGAGTATGTGACGGATTGACTGTAACTTTGATTTATTGATGTTTTTTAATATTAAATCTCATTTCAGCTCTCAGTTTGGGTGATCTTAACTGGCTGACATGAACAGAGCAGAGGAAGAGAAGGTGCAGAGTTTAGAAAAAGAATGCTCAGTTCAAATGACTGAGGTGTAACACAGAAAGGGAAGGAGATGGGAATGGGAGGACACATTAGTAAGACACAGCAGGATTGAAAACTAACTTGGAGTGTTGGGACAACTGAGGGCACTGGAACCTGTGGGAGAAAAACCAGGCAAAACAGGGGGTCAGTTAGGAGAAGACAAGCGAAAAGAAAAGAAGACAAGGAGCACTAGAACAGGGGCTGGATGTCTGTTTTGTCATCTGCACTCTCCTGTGGTTTCATTCATGTAGTCACCGTAGTGGATCACCAGTGGTTGGTGGTCAGTTGGCCAGACAGTCCACCAGGCTGTCATATTAGCTGTCACCTGTCCATGTATCTGAACAGTAATGGATTCTGTTTGTTGGTCGACACGAAACTGTACTAGATCATGAGTCTTCATTAAGACTTTGATATCAAACAGCTAATAATGTGTTGCTGATGTTAAATAAGCACTACCGTAGTTTGTAACATACTGAATTAGCTACTGCCTTCTCTGATATCCATTGTAATTCATACAGGGCTACATCTAGGTGCATCAGGCATTGTCCATTGAGAAACAAAGTGGAAACTCGTTTGCAACTGACATCTTTGCTCACGCTGTAGAGGTGCACTATTCAGAAAAATGTCTCTCCATGTTTTCTCCTTTACTTCTGAGGGCTCTCTGCAGTTGCCATGGTCACACAATGAGTCACGGCAGAAAGATGAAAGGATGCAGCCTCTATAATGAGACACGTCGTACAGTGGGTGAACTGTTGTATTTACAAAATTATGAAAAAGTGCCTTTTGTATTTGTTATTCCATAAAAATTTAAGTTCAGCCAAGTCAATTAAAGGTACAGTGTGTAGAATTTTGTGATATGTAGTGTTGAAATTGAATGTTGCAGTTGAACACCCCTCAACTCACCCTCTCCTTCCAAACATGAAAAAGAACCTGTGGTAGACTTTAACTTCAACTTTTATTTCAAAAGCTGTTTACTTTGTCCAGACTGGACTAATGTAAAAAACATGGCGGCCTCCATAGAGAGGGTCCCCTCGATGTAAATATAAAGTATTCAAAAATAAGAGGCCTTTTCTGGGGCAAAGAAAACTACAATTCATACAATTTAGATGAAACGAACTAGTGAAAACATCATGAGGATTATCCTACATTAAATCTCTGCTAATAGATCCCTTTCACCTAAATCTTACACACTGAACCTTTAAAGCAGAAATATCATGCTGTAAAAGTAACGCTCTTAAAGTAAATGCTTTGAAATTCAATGTGAGCCTTTACTAAACAACAGGGCTGAAGGAACCACACACTGTCTAACATTCAAAGGAAGCTCACCTGAGCAACAGCATTGAACTTTATTTAACTGTAGGGGAATAAAGAATCATCATGGAAATCCTCAAGTACAGTAAAGTGCTGTTGAACTTCAGAACACTAGTAAAGATGCTGTCATCTGTCTGCCTGTGTGTGTTTTCTGGGCCACACAGTGAGCTTTCACCAGTGGGGAATAAAGGTTGGCAGCTGAGTGAGTTGATGAATTTATGTTGATCTAAACAACATCTGCCAAATTCTCTCCCACTGCTAAGGGGGATAAATGCCACTCATGTGATTGAGGAAAATAGATGAGAAACTTGAAAACCTCCCACTGAGAAACAGGTGGCAGAATAGAAAACACGAAACAGGTTATCGGGCTCTTAATACTTAATACTTATTTTTCGGAGCAAGTCAGGTGATGTTATTTTAGGGCCACTAAGTTTTGGGAAGATGGATGTATGAACAAAAATTCAGACTGCTTCGTGGGCTTGACTGTGGTGTATTAAAAAAAACAAAAAAACACTGACTATAATTCAACTCAAAAATGGAATCTGTTCCTGATACATGAGAAAGTTGTTTTCATACATAAAAACCTTTTTTTTAAATGCTACCATCCTGCTCATGGTGATGTCAGATTGTAGAATGCTTCTCTTTGTTGTTCCTAATGACAAATGCATTGTTTTCTAAGGTGCTTTAAATTATTGTTATTATTATTATTATTATTATTATTATTGTTATTACTATTTTTTCAGAGAAAGTATTGTTTGTCATTGTGGCACTAAACACTGCAATACCCATGAGCCTCGGTTGCTGGTTCCATGGAGTAGAAATCAGTTGGAGGCACAAACAATGCACCAAAAAGAATAAGACCTAATTAATCCAAAGTGAAATTTCACATGAACTGGTTTTGAGTGCAGATTGTAAAATTTGTTTTACCAGTGGTGCAGACTTTGGCTTCCACTTGACTGGTGAAAAAAAAGTAGGAGTCATAGTTTGGCATTTGGGTAGAACGAGAAAAGTACAAAAACCAAAGCAATAAGTGGATCTGCCAGTGCTAAAACAACGAGATCATTTGGACCACTACCAGTTTACCTGCATACGTGTGTATGAATAAACATGAGCTTGTACATACTGGCAACATTTGCTTGTAATTGTGTGTCAATACCCTGTGTTTGGTAGTTGAGTCTCCTCATCTCCACAGGATCTGAGGAATGGGCCAGCAGTGAGTCCTTGACCCCTGCCATGTGCTCATCCTTGGCTGGAGACGTTCTCTTCCTGAGGAAAAGAACAGGCGGTGTGGTGAGAGAAGGATGAGCAGCCATTACTTTAAAACAATCATACAGAAACAAAAAACAAAGTAGAAAATATGGTAAAAGACAGCAGATGATCCTCCATATATACTGGGCTACCATATTGAAAAACAAAATCCCCTCATGTCTTGTAATGGTGAAATATTCTCTTTAAGCTACAAGTTAAACTCTAATATCTGCTTCAATGTTAGAATGGGCTAATTGGTCATGAGACTCTATCCAGAGCTGTGAGGAGAATATACAGTACTTTATTTTTTAATACTGTATATTCAGAAGATCCTGTAGGAAATAATGTTTCAGTTTCACAGTTATACACAGCCCCAATGCAGTTGATATACAGTATGAGTAGTACTCATTATCTACCACTATGCCGATGGAGGGGCGGGTGCGGTCCACAAAACACTAAATTAGTCTCAGAGGTAAACAGCATTGCAGCCAAGGTGACCCCTTCTGTAGACGTAATAAAAGAACAGAAAAAAACATATCATGCCTCCATGCTTCCCATGTGCCGTCATCCAAGTGTCCGCAAGCTCCGACATTCATATTCAACACTGTGTTTTAAGCCTAAAAAGTCCACTACCGGAAGTTGCAATGCTAGCAGACGTAGAGATGTTAAGGCGCACCCCACACAGGAACTTTCCGAAGTGTCCATGAGGACGTGAACATGCCTCCAAGGAGGATATCAGTGGGCTTTTATGCTTAACATGATGTAAATGATGCTGTTGCGAACCAAATTTGAATGTCAGGACTTTCGGACACTTGGATGACACCATACAAGCAGTATGGAGGCATGTAATGTTTTCTTCTGTCTGAGGAAGAGGTCCCATTTACTTCAACTGTTTAGGATTTTCGTTGCAACACTGTTTATCCCTGAGACTCCAAAAGTGTTTTGTGGACTCAAACAACTGTTGTAGTGAAACTCAAACATTATTTCCTACAGGACGTCGTCTTCTTCTGATTATACAGTTTAAATCGAACTGTATATTCTCCTCACAGCTCTGGATAGAGTCTCATGACTATCCCTAAATGCCTCTTTCCCACTGGTCAAAAAATCTGTCTTTTTCTCAAATGGGAATAGATACAATCGGCATTTACTCCCTGGTAAAATGACTTTGCAGGAGACACAGGTTTGTATCGTCTCTGGCTTCATTTGACACTGATGTATACATGACACCTGGATAAACAGCAAAACACCAAGGTAAGAGCATGGCTAAGGTTTTGGTGTAACAACACTTTGTGACATCGAACATGATACACTGGGAAAATAAATGTTAACAATCTTCTATTGGCATGGGAAAGGTCAGTAATGTTTTTAGCAGGTTTACTTAAGTTTAGTTACTCATGTATACCCACTGATTTTGGTGTAAAACAGGTATAACAGTCCTATGTTACTGTAACCCATTCAGATAAGAGGCTCAGAGGCACGACAATGTTCTTTCTAATTAATTATGTGGACAGTCAGATATTATTGCTGCCAGTTAACTGAGGACAAAGCCAGGCTGTGAGGCAGGATTATTCCAAGGCAAAGACCCACACTCAGAGCTGAGCAGCAAAAAAACACAGTCGAAGAAACAAACAGACAGAAAAGACACACATGCTCACAACTGCTGTCAGTTGAAGTGTAAGAAGACAGCTCAGACAAGCTGACATGGTGGGGTGGAAGTGTAACAGAAACAATGAGCCCCTGTCACTTTTCACTCTCACTGTCAGAAAACATGAAAACATACAAGGATGTACAGAGGCAGGCTGTGAGGTGAAGTGATGTAGGAACAGACTGAGTCACTAACCTTTCTTGTTTGCTGTGTCCACAGAAAGCAGGCAGACATTGAACCACAGAGCACAGAGACAAAAGTTTCATTAAATAGTTGTCAGCAGTGGAGCACCACATAGTGTCAGTGTCAACAGAGCACTTTACTGTTCCTGATTGTGCTATTAAGCGGATCTTCAGCAACTTAGCTCAGCTTCACCCTCCACCTCCTCACAATCTCACCCCACACAAATCTGCATTTAAAGTGTTTTGTTACATCACTGTCAAATTCACACTAATGGATATGGTGAGTTTCACATGTTAGAGTACATAAGATGCCATCTAAAAACTTTTTATTTAACCTTAACTTATGAATTTTATGATAATTTCTTGTATTCCCCTCTTACTTGCATTGCATTCATTATTTAGTTCTCATTATCCAGTTGTTAAATGCGATAGGATTTAACAAAGTATATATTTTTATTATGTTTATGGTAATATAAATTACAATCTTAACTTTTGGATACCAAGCTTGATTAGTGAGCTTGATTTTTCTTTAGCTATAATCTTTCAGTAGTAGTAGTATAATATCTATGAGCTCCTACACTGCACTTCACACCCTAATAAATAAAAGTAGGTCAACTTTGGTGGGAAAGCAATTACTTTTTTATCTATAATAAATTGTGTTTATCTTTTATATATATTTCTACTTTTAAAGTCTGATTTAATACATGATGATGTTGAATGCAGATGATTGTATGCAGGTGCACAGCATGGTACACTAAGCCATTAACATCCTATCATCCTCTGTGACTATGGATAAAAATGCTGAGCAGGCCCATTGAAACTGGCTGTTTTGATAGGAACAGTGACTAAAGTGCCAGATGCTTTTTTAAATATGAGAAAAACGTCAGTAAATAGTCAGAAACTGTGGTGGACTCAACAAGATGTGAATCTCATAGCTCAACCTAACTGAACACCTATGGCAGAATGGTGTATAATCTATACTCATGAGAACTGAAGAAGAGCTTGCTTTTTGTGATGATTCAACACCTTACTGAAATCAATATAAACCACACTGTGCTTTTTCTGTGAAAACTACAGCTTTAAATAAAAATAAAAAATCATAAAAAAGTTCCTTGGGTTGAGAATATTCTCCTTCAAAGACTAAGAAAGCTCATTAGCCCATTTATAACCCTTAAGAAGAACTCTAAAATGCATGGTCACAATGCTTAACATATTGTGGGATATAAATAGGTTTTATCTGGATTTGTACTGCACCAATTTCATTTTCCATTAAAATATGGTTCATCAGCCTATTCATGATTCAGGTTTGGGCAACCATATTTTAACTCTATAGATATGGATGGATCACATAACTCATGCAAACTTTAAGGCCTGGAAGTACATTTTCATAGTGTGCTGAAACAAATGGAACCCACTGTTTGATAAAAAAAATACATTAAAAAAGCTATATAAGTAGGACCATGTGGGCAGTAATGTATTGATTATTTTGTTTATTAGAATAAAAGATGCATGTCAAACATCACTATGGGCTGAGAAGAGCAGATGACTTCAGTCAGAAATGCTTCCCTCCCCAAGGAAACAAATTCCCACACATGAAGAGAAAACAAGAGCAAAAGGAGCGTTGCCATTTGAGCAGAGTAACCACCATATGGATGCGCCCGTCAGCTCAGTCAGCAAGTCCAGATATTCACCCAAGCACAAGAAGCACAAGCCAACTGTTAGCCTGGAAAAACAGGGCTACAGGGCAACTGACAGCAACTTCCTTCCATGTGTCATGGAGGACCTTTGTCCTTGGGCCCGCTCAGCCAAGATAAATGTCTGTCTGAACTCAAGAACCATTTCTTGGTGCGTGCCTCTTCTGTTCTTGTCATCTGCTGCAATGAAGAAACTGCTCCTGGTCTCTCTCTGGACTGTGTTAAAATGATGGTCCATATAGATGATATGAGGAGGAACATAATGAGCATACACTGCCTTCAAGGTCCACTCAACTGCTATTTTATTTTATAACAGATGACGGAAAAGATGCATTGGTATGTTGATACTGGAGTTTAATGCTAGTTCACTTGCAGAGAGTTAGAGGGTGCAAACATCTCACAGCTGAACGTTTGCTGGGATTTTAATTTGTTGGATTTAGTATACATTTTTCATTAAACACAAATGATATCTGACTTTTATCAGAAGTGGGTTGTTTGACTGGCTTGTATTAATGTTCATTATTATCTACTGAGAAAAAACACCTGGAAATTGGTTATCACTATTTAAATGATTAATAAAATATAAATTATGTACATTGTTATTATTTCAGCACACCACTTCATATCACATTCGGTATTGCTGGTAGAGGCCAGTGCTTTGATACCAAATGATCACATTGCTAACCTTTGCAAGGTTTTACCAATCTCATCACACCAAAAATGTTGCTGCATGTAATGGTTTGTCCACTATTATGTGATGTCCTCTTAGCTGCCCATTGTGATATAGTTCCTAATGCACAAAAGCTCACCCAACTCAGCTCTCTTCTAACTGTAATTCAATTCAATTAACAAGCATTTATAAAAACAGGGTTCTCAGTGTTAACAGTGTCATACTTACCTTTTGAAGAGTAGAATAGCAATGACTATGATGATGATGAGAATGACAGCCAGGACTGGACCCATTACCCACAGCATCTCTGGGTCCTCAGTGTGTCGGCTCATCCCACTGTGGAGCTTCACCATGATGGGCTCGGAGAATGGGCTCCCTGCAAACATCCTCTGCTGCAAAGGACAAGAGGATGATCCAGGGTCAGTTCAGTTACACACAGCAGAACAGATTCGATCTGTCGGGGCTCTACCACCACAGCCTAATATTAGCTACATAATGCTTTTAGTTTTGTCTTTGGAAGCAGTTTGAGGTTTGTTAAACCTGGCTGAACATTTCTTGAGCAATAATGTGCTAAGATTGAAACAATGATCAGCATTCATGAGTGTTGATCCCAGTTACCCCAGGCTGGTACGTTGCTTTGTATTCTACATTGTCAGTGGTTTTTCTTTATCCTAGTGTTCCACACAGTTTCCTACGGAGCCCCTCTGGTGACAAATTATTAAGTGCTGGGAGCAAGATAAATAACTCATGGCCACGAGCTGCATCTTTAATAACAAGACCTGGCTGACTAGGCTTTAGTTTGACACACTGCCTTGGTCGGCTGTGGCTGAGGAGTGGAGCAGTCGTCCTCCAACCAGAAGGTCTGCAATTCAATCCCCAGTCTTCCCATCTGCATCTTTTTATAAATACAAACCATCTACCATTCTGTGATTAATTTGGAGGTTGATCAATTTGCATCATTTCACACACACACAATGGTAAAGACATGAGCAGATGAACTGACTTTGCTGAGTGTGGGAATGTGAAACATGTAAGATACTCCTCTGTCATTTAGAGTTCAATATATATATAGCCTATATAATATACATGATGTGAGTTAGACAGATGTGTGTGACTGCCTTGCAGGGACCATCTTATGGTGAATTAGTGATCTTGTGTTACTGGATGATACCTCAGTCCTTTGGCAGGTAAGTAAGGTCAGGGAAATGTCTTTATCACTGTGACAACTGGTCACAATGGAAACATTGTTTGTTATTTTTAGCTTTCCGACAGCAATGTGAATGGTATACAGTATAAAAGTGAAGACATCATTAATAAAAACAAAAGTCTGTTCCTGACGATTTTCATAAAAATATGTATCTAACTGAAGAGAAGGACAACATTTCATTTGTCCCATTGTGCTACCATCTCTTGCTGTTTAAACGAGTACTCCAGTAGTTTAATGTTCATTTCAATCAAGTTATGGGATTTGTGAGAGACAGATAAACTAAAGAATGGTTGAAATTCAACCTGAGATGTCCAGATATTTAGGCCCTATTAAGGTTCGAACTCCTGTGTTTCCCTTGATCCAGCCAGTAACATCAGTTCTTTAGCTCCCTCTACCAGTAAATGTCCACATCTTTAAAAATCCAGAATAAAGTTTGTATAAATCAGACTCTCTGTGTCATTTCTGTTGATAATTATATCAAAGTTATCACTGCATCATTTCCTTTCAAATAAACTGAGTTCCTGTCTATTAAAGATTTTTTTGTCCCAATGATTTAGTTGCAGTTTTGTAGGTAGTAGACAATTGTCACAATGTTAAACATTGAATATGAGATAGATGGATACATTTTGTGTAATTCAAGTTTAGTAACTGTGCTGCTTGTCACTTTATGTTGTATGAGATGAGTGTATGATGTAATGATACTGGCTGCAGCTCCTCTGGGTGAAAGCTGTAGACACAATTGAAGTATGGTGCTTGTTAAAACAATGTCCCCCCAAGAACAGCTCTGCTTCCTTATTGATTCATTAATTTTAGCACGTTTTCATTCTAACGTTCATTTTCGGGGGGTTGTGATATTAGGCTGACAGCTGTAGATGAATTATGAATGAACTTTGTGGCTGCAAGAGATTTGTTAAACATTCGTCAATTCTGAAATGAAACAAGTGCGTTTAACATGGTGTGAACCAATACCCTTCCAAACATGTCGAACTCTTACCACACATACCATGAATCTAATACATTTGGAAAGGTACATGGGTTTTCCCTGCAGTTGGGATAAAGCATTATAATCATTCTGAATGATCACAGATTGCATTGAAAATCAATGTACTTGTAATTAATATGTTGTAGCAATAACTGTAATTCAAAGGTCAAGGACACTTGATTTATGCTGATGCTTTTTTTTTTTACATCAACCAAAACGTTGTGTGCAGTGAAGTGCATGCACCAGGTATTTTTTTGTGATTTCATCATGATATTATAACATGAGCAAAAAGCACAAACCAAATTCCGGTGAGGATTTTCACTGGCGATGAGACCTGGGCCCAGAGCTCTAATCCAGATACCAAATAGCAGTGGCCACACTTAAATGGGAAAGGGGTAAGTATGCCTTTCCTTAACAAGTACACTCTTTGACAGTATTTTCATGCACATAAATTAAAAAGAAAACATCACCATCATGACTTTTGGAGAATCTGTCA